ATAATCAGTCGCTCGCCCTACTCTTTCTACTCCTCTATTAGGTTTATAGGTATATATAGGTAAGGTCTTAATTTTAATACTATTATTAGCTGCCTAGATCTAAAAGCAAGATTTGCTGCGCTAAGGGAGCGTTATAACATTGTTATCTTGCATAATCTTAACTATGCTAAGCTTATATTAGTTAAGTATTAAGCTCTTAAAATTTTTAAACACCTGTATAATCTTATTAAGGTTTTTAGCTTGTAGTAGATAGGTATAAAGCTTTCCTAAGTAGTCGCACTTTAATACTAAGATCTATTGCTTGTAAGCTATACCTATTAGCATGTTAAATAGATCCTATAATACCTAGTAGTATAGACGTGGTAATCTTTCCCTTAGTTATCTTAATATAACCTATTAGGCATATATAATAGCGCAGTACTTGTATTTGCTCCTAGGAGTTCCTTTAATTCTAACGTTTATTGCTAACTTAACTAGAGCTTTAAGCGCCTTAGGTCCTAAATAGCCTAATTGTTAGTGCTAAAGCTCCTTACTATTATGTCTTAGGTAAGTCGTCTAGGATTGTTAGGGTTGTTTAGGCACTATGCTTTAGATTATTTAATAAGGGGTAGAGGGCTTGTATTCTAGGAAAGTTAAGTTAAACTTGCGCAGTAACTTAGCTAATATAACGCTCTTTCCTAATAATCTAAACTATAAGGTAGTATTTAGCCTAAGGAACTAAACTCCTACTTTAAGTAATTAAGCTTCTAATATAATATTTATATAAAAACCTTCTACTAATACTACGTTAGTAAGCACTAAATCTTCTATTTTTAGACCTCTTAGTCTATTAAGAGTATTAGGGATTACTCTAGTCCCTCTGCCTAAGATTAGAAAAGCTTAAGTTCCTGCTTTAACTGTCTTATATTTAACTAATCTAAATAAGCTTTCTTCTAGGTAGCTTATATTATTAACTAGGTGTATTACACCCCTATTATTAAAGATAGTGCTCTTTAATAGAGTATAAGCTTTAAAGTCTATAGTTAAATAGATCCTGTTTGTTTTCTCCGCTATTAATATAGGGTTAATTAGTGCCGCCTAGATACTGCCTAGATAGGTGATCGCGCTTGCCTTACTACTATAATCTTAATTAATAGGATAGGACTTAATTAGAGCTTTTCTTAACTCTTTGAATTTTGGATTCCTATTAATCTTTTTCTTAATGTCTAATTGTTAAGTAGTAGTAAGCTTGTTACCTGTATTAGTGTAAGCTTTAATAATATTTTTATATTAAGGAGGTTTCTATAGGTAGGATCTACTATATAGGTATAAAGACTCCTTCTTAGGTTAATTAGAAGGCGGAGCTCCTATTATTGCAAACACTCTAGGACCCTTAGAGCTTAATCTTATATTGTTTTCTTAGAGAAGTAATAAATAGATCTTAGTAACCTACAGGAGGTTATAAGTTAGCTCTCCTATTACTAACTTTTTAATAATCCTTTAAAATATAGTTTAACCTTAATTTAGTAAGATCCTAGTAGATAGAGCTTTAAGATAATCCTATACTATAAGCTATCCTTTAATATTAGGAACGTTGTATACCTTAGCTTGCGTATACAGGATTATCCACTCCTTCTACTAGCAATTAGCGTCTTAGCTAATTATCTTTGCTTTAGCAAGATAAGCTTTATACTACAATCTTGCTAGTGTTATAGCGCTTAAATTAGTTAGCGCTAGGTTATTATAGAGCACTTAGATAAGTGCTTAGAGGGTTACTCTTCCTTAATTAACAAGCTCTATATAGGCTAGGGTAAGGATCCCTTAATCTACTATATTATTAACCTATATAAAAAGGTTCTAGATTACTAATAACTTTAATACCTAATCTAATAAGCAGGCTTAGTACTAAGCTATTTAGAGTTTATACTGCTTGCTTATTATATTAGATAGCGCAATATCTGTTAGCATGTTAGGCTTAATACGTTTATTCTTAAAGTAGTTTTTAGCATCCTAAGCCTTAGGGTCTACCTCTACCTAGATCCCTTTAGTTAGGGCATAGTTTCTAAATTAAATGTACTAGGTAGGCTAGTTAGTTAATCTAGTAAGTAGGATATCCCCCTTTAGGATTTAGTTACTTATAGTAGAAGAGTAATAAGTAAGCTTCTACTCAAGAAATAGTATAAAGAAAGAGTAAAGCTTGCTAGCTTAGTGTCTAAGTTAAACAATACGCTTAAATAGATAGGACAATCTTTAATAAGGTAAAGCGCGAACTAGGCTTATAACTGTAGAAATCTAGATTACTAAGGTTAGGAATAATTTAGGAGATAGATTATTAGATTGTATCTACTACGATCGTACTTATATATATAGAGCTTTAGCTACCCTTACTAGAAGGTGAATAATTAGTAAACCTTCCTTACTAGAGCTCCTGCTTTTTGTTAGGCACTTGGCAGTAAGCTAGCAGTTGATTAGATAGTGGGTCACACAGGGGTATTAATCAGGATTGATCGGATCAAGATGCTCCGTGATCCGGTTGATATCCCTCCTGCAACATTAAACTATTTACCTTAGGTTCGCGCTTATTAACTACTAAGATAAGGCTACTTTTTTATAGGTGCTTACCTAACTCCACAACTTATTTACTAAGCACTCTATATCTATATAACTTTAGATAACTAATTAGGATTAAGTACTTATTAACGCGCTTAAATTAGTATATAATAACCCTAGGATTCTCCTGTATTATTAGCACCTTAATAAGGACGTTCTTGCCTATCTACGCTTAAAGATTTCTACTAAGTTTAGGTAATAATATAAAGGTTACGTTTATATAGATAATAAGTGTATAATAGAGTTTATAGGACTCTATTCTAAGCTACTTAAACTACCTACTAAAGCAGACTACGCTAGTAATTTATAGAAGTGTAAGAACCTTTTAGCTACTACTACTAGTTATTTTAGGTAGTATTAGTTAGATTTTTACACTAATAAGCCTATAAGCTATTATATTAACTAATAACCTTACTTTAGGCTTACTATAATAAGCAAAGTAGAGGGCGCCTACTACGCGATTAAAGACTAGCTGCGCAGTAGCTAGAGTAATATCCTTACCCTATTTAGGTAGTTGCTCTAGTTCTATAATAAATATATATATACTATAGAACTTGTAGACATAGCTACTAATTACTAGCTTTATTTTAACTACTAGGGGTACCTATTTATAGTAGTATTTAGGCGTATAATAAGGTATGCTCTATTAGTAACTATAAAAACCTTAATTAAAGTTTATAATAAGATCTGCAAATAATAGATAGATTCTACCTGCTACTTTACTACCTATAATAGGGGATATACTACTTTATTTAGTCTACCTTATTAGTATAAACTTGTAGATCTTAAGCTTTATTTAATAGTTCTATAAACTAATTACTACCTATATTAATAGGTTAATTATAGATAGGCTTCTAGCCTTATACTTACTACTACCCCTTACAAGCCGAAGAATATTATTACTAAATAACGCGTAAAACGCTTTTACTACAAAGGCGCTAGGTAGTTTAATATAAGGCGTAAGCCTACTATAGCTAAATAGCTTAATAATAATAACCTAGCCTTACTACTAGCCTTAATACTAGCCTATATAAGGTAGTAGTAAGCTACTAAGTAGGTATATATAGTCCCTTGCCTACCCTAAACCTAGCCTCTACCTCGCCTATAACCTTGCCTATAACCTCTACCTTTACTATAACCCCTAATAGCCTCTACCTATTTATAGTCTTCTTACTCTTACCTATAACCTCTACCTCTACTATAGTTACCTATATTATAGTATTATTACTAACCTTAATATTAATAGCTACTACTACTACTACTACTACTACTACTAACTTAATATATATTATATACTACTAATTATAACTACTAAAATTTACCTTTTAATAGTTAAATTAGTAGTTAAATAGGCTACCTATAGTAACTAGTATATCTATATTTTCTACTATAGTAGCTACTATAGTAGCTACTAACCTAGCTGCACGCTCTATAACTACTAGCCCCTCTACTAAATCCCTATATAGCTCCTAGTACTCTAATAGAGCTAGAGTACTATAGAGGCTTATAGCTAAGCCACACGTCTTATTACGTTAGATAATTATTTCTCTATAAGGGGTAAAAATATAAATATATAGCTAATATACTAAGTTATAGCAAGTTAATCCTTTTTCTTTACTATAGTAATACTACTAATACTATACACTAATACTATTAATACTAGTCGCGGGCTATCTAGTAGCATCCCCTATAGTACTAATTTACTAGCTACAGGATGTTAACTAATTTAGGTAAGGTAAGGCTTATAACTAGGATACTTTTCTTATTGCGACCTAGACGAATAACACTTGCTAGTACTATAGCTAGTGTATACTAACCCTAATTTACTAGCCTAAAAATTATATAGGCTAGCGAGACTTGCCGCTTAGCTACACTTCGCTTATTATGCTTAGCTAGCTAATTAACTACTTAAACTAGGACAAATATCTTATTGTTCGTAGGATAAGTAGGTATTACCTAAGCTTACCTTTTTAGTACGCTTAGCTTTCTTATATGCTTACCTCTCTTATACTAGTAATCTTACCTATCTTATAGTAATAAGCTTACCTCTCTTACAATAGTAAGCTTACCTCTCTTATATGCTTATCTCTCTTGTAATAGTAAGCTTACCTCTCTTATAAGCTTACCTCTCTTGTAAGGGTAAGCTTACCTACCTAGTAAGCTTACCTACCTAGTAAGCTTACCTACCTAGTAAGCTTACCTACCTAGTAAGCTTACCTACCTAGTAAGCTTACCTACCTAGTAAGCTTACCTACCTAGTAAGTATCTAGTAATAGCTATCTTAGTCTAGTAAGCTTACCTATTTACCCTATTTGCATAAGATTACATATATCTCCCTATCTTATCCCTTCCCTTCCTTGATAGTATTCTCTACATTCACATCCCACTCTACTAGTTACCCCCGCTTCATCATGCGTTTCTTGCTTCCTATATTTTCTGCTACTCTCGCCTTCGCCATAAACGAAGCCTTCGAAGGCAGGCCCTGCTGCCAAAAATGGATAGAGCAGTGCAAACTGGAAGGGGCAGTAGGCTGCATGTTGGCCGACTACAACTACTGCGTAGTGCCATCCTCTACATGTCAAGAACAATGCAATGGCTTCTTTGGTCGTAACGGAAGGAGTACACACGGCCGAGACACGGAATATGTGTACCAGATCCATAAGTAGGTCTGAATTTTACCCGGACACGAACTTCATCTAATTTTGGCTCTAGTAGTATGAATACTGAATGCATCTGTAGCATGTATACCGCGAATGAGAAAGATCCAACTTGCTAAGCCAATTGGATTTTTCACTACATAGCAAACCTGCAGACTATGCAGATTCTAGCTAAAGTGAATAGTGTGCTGTGGCACAGAGGACACTTAATAAACGAGGCTTACTTAGAAATAGACAGGTTGAAGGTATAGGGGGGGGAAGCATTATAGGATAGAACGGCACCTTATCACAACTTAACTTAACTTGTTAATAAAATTTCTTCTGCTTAATCTATCCCTCAAGTTAAGTTGTTTACTATGTTATCTTCCATTAAGTCTAAACTCTCCCCCTTCCCCTTCTTTAAATAGGATACTCTCTATATTAGTTTCATAGATAATATAACTTAATTACATAACGTAGACTTTTACATACTAGAAGATACCTAAGCTATAACCATTAATTAAAAAGGTTCTAACCTTCTTATATAGTCTTTTACAGTTATATTGTAACTAGAAATTAAACTTGCTTGTTTAATTAATCCTGTTATAGATGGAATAATTACATCCTATTTAACGTAGAAAGCTCTCCATGCATCTAAGAGTGCTTCTATAGATAGTATTAGTATAACTAAGGAACGCATATAGAGGGTTAATAATGTAATAAAAGTGTAATAATAGGGCAGAATTCTTTGCCTATAGTTATATACCAAGTTATCCCTAACAACAGCCTAACTTATAGATGTATTTACAGAGTAGCTCGCCTATATTAGAATAGGCATGTTCTTCTTATCCTTTTATATAAGACCTATAGGTATAGGAATCTTATTCTTTTCTATATAGACGCGTACTTCTATATGCCTTTAAGTTATATAGCATACCTTTTAGATGCTGTACCTACCTAAGTTATTATATTATAAGAAAAATTATCCTAGCCAGTAATAGTATTTAAGAATATCGCATTTATTATTATTTTAAGCTACTAGTTTAATTTAGGTAGTAGTCTAAGCCTATAACTCTATAGCTAGAATAGCTATTAGAACTTCTAATAACTAAAGTCTATAGGCTTAGACTTTTAGAGTACTAGGTAGTACTAGATTACCTTAAGAAAAACTATGTTAGATTATATTAAGGTAGAGACTTAGAGACTACTAAAAGACTAAAGGAATTATTAGTAAAGCTAATATCCTATTATAAACCCCCCCTAAAGAAAAGACTTATTATTTTGTATTAACTATTATAAAGGGCTTAGGCTTATCCCTAAGCATAGGCCTAATACAAGATAGATAGAGTCTAACACTAATACTAAGCGAACACGCTACAGACCTATAAAAAAGGCATAGAGGGCTTACCCCTCCTTTAAGATACTAAATACTATTATTAACGCTTATTGTATTCTCCCTTAAGGCTAGTCTATAACAACTACTAAAATATTAAATAAAAGTAAAGGAAGGGTATCTAGTTTAGCTACTTTTAAGAACCTATTTACTAATAGAAAGAAATTAGATAAGGAGGACTTAATTAATAACGCGCTCCTAGAAGGACCTACTTCCTATCTATCTCTTAAGGTACCTTATGCTTTTAAGAAATCTTAAAGCAATACCTCCCTTAAAGATAAATATATATTAACCCTATCTAAAAAAGAGAGGTTAGAGAAATAAGTAAAGTAACTTACTAATTTATTATATACTACCTCTCTCTATAAAGAGATATAGAGTACTACCTAACCTAGCTAGTCTTTAGCTTCTATATTAAATCCTATAGTATATACTATAAAAGCTAAGAGATAATCTAAAGAGACGCTAAATATCTCTACACTTAATAATAGCGCTAAACTTACCTTTAGATAATAGTAAGCGTCCATTTAGAATTAGCTAGAGATTAATACTAATTTCTACCCCTGTTCTAGAGCGTAGATAGCGTTAGTCTAAGGATACTACTTAGGACTAGCAAGGGAGTACTTAGAGCCACGTGACTTATCTAACTCCTAAAGTCTTTACTTCTAAAAAGCTAAGTAAATAATTACCCTTTTCTAAACGTACTTTATTATAAAAAATAAGATAGCTAAAAGTTAGACTATATTTAACTACTTATATATAAGCAATACTAAAATATTCCCTACTTATAAATTATAATTCTTGAGTCTTGCTATTAGAGGAGAGGTACGCTAATTAGAATAGTATTATTATCTCTAGATAAATATTACACCTGCCCTAAGGATACTAAATCTTGCTTTTTAATAAGATTAGTATAATAGTTTTAAGATTATAGTAGATTATTTTACTTCTTTTAGTATAGAATACTACTTATACCCTATTTTATCTACTTCTATATAGATAACTCTGTTATTAATAAAAGAACTAACCCTTTTTTAATACTTAAAAAACTAGTCCTATTTAGACACTAATTAGAAACCCTAAAATAAACTTTCTATAGCTAAACCTTATATACCCTACTTATAATAATAGGGTAATACCCCTTAGAATAATTAACCCCTATCTACTTCTCTAGCTACTACTAGCGCTACTATAATAGGAACCCTAGGAACTTACTATAATTAAAGGAAGCCTAGGCACTTCTCTAGTAACTACCCTAAACCCTCTAGGATTTAGGCTATAGATAGAGAGTAGGCTATTAAGAATTCTAAGGAAGAAGAAACTACTAAATTAACTAATTTAGATAGCTACTAGATAGGAAATAATAACGCCTAGAAGGATCCTTCTTTCTAGGCCTAACTTAATATAACCTATTAAACCTTTCCTTAACTAAACTATTTATTAGTTTTTATTTACTTGCATATATAACTCTATACCATAATAAATCTAGTATTTATCTAAACGCTTTAGTAGATACTAGGGCCTAAGGTTACTTATTCCTTAATTTAAAAATTACTTATAATATTTATTCTACTCTTAGGGTACCTATCTAAAAGCTACTATATAAGCTTACTATTAAAGGGTTCTAGAACTAGATTACCTTTCTAGTTGCCTACTATATTTAGCTTTATATAATAGTTAGTAGCTAAAAGGTTTATAACTGCCCCTTTGTAATAGTAGACTTAGGTTCTTAGGATTGTATTATTAGATAATACTAGCTAAAACAGTTCTAAATCCTAATTAATATAGATAAATCTTAACTAATCTAGCTAGAGAAATATCCTCTAACCTATAACCCTGCACCTCCTATTCTAGTACAACTCTACTAGCAAGTGCTATCTACTCTAGTTACCTATAATATCTTATAAAGAGACGCCCTTTAGGATTAAGAAGAGAACTAGAACTAAAACAGTCCTGGTTTAATTAATAGGATACGTGGTATACTTAAAATTCTAGCTACTTATAGGGCTGCTACTAAACCTATTACGCTACCTACCCTAGTCTAATTACTAACTGTTACCCTACCTACAAAATTCTAAATTGCTACTATTTCTACTAATGCTTTCTATTTTAATATAAAAAAATCTTCTAATAAATTCTTTACTACTAGCCTGTATAAGATTAAGCGTAGGATCCAAACCCTATCTAAACAGGATACTCTTAACCACCGCTTGTTAGATTAGAAGCTCCTATCTAACTATAACTCCTATTAGGACGTCTTTAACAAGGCTAAGGCTAATAAACTTCTAATCTACTAGCCTTACAACTATAAGATAGTCCTAGAGGAACCCCTTCTAAACTACTAGAGTCCCCTCTATTATTAAAATACTAAGGAACTCTAGGCTACTAAGGAATATATACAAGAGCACCTATAGAAAGGTTTTATTAAGACTAGTTAGAGCCTATTTGCCTCTCCTATCCTATTCGTTAAGAAGCTAAATAGAGGCCTTAGGATCTATATAGATTACTGTAAGCTTAACAGCTTAACGCGAAAGGACGCGTATCTAATACCCTGTATAGACAATCTATTATCCTAGCTAGCTAAAGCAAAAATCTTTACTAAGCTAGATATTTGTGCTGCCTTTAATAAGATCTAAATAGACCCTAACTTAGAGGAGTACACTACTTTCCGCACTAGGTATAGTGCCTATAAATATAAAGTCCTACTATTTAGGCTATATAACAGACCTATAACCTATTAGTGCTATATAAATAATATACTAATAGATTATTTAGATAACTTTAATATTACCTATCTAGATAATATCCTTATCTACTCTAAAAACCTTGCTACTTATAAGGACTATATTTAAAAAGTCCTTAAGCGTCTTTGTTCTACTAGATTATAGGCTAATATTAAGAAAAGCAAATTCTATATAACCTAGACCTGTTACCTTAAATATATCCTAACTAACAAAGGCTTAGAGGTAGACCCTAATAAAGTTAAAGTACTCTAAAACTAGTCTGCTCCTAAGATAATAACTAGAGTAAAGTCCTTCCTAGGATTTACTAGATTCTACTAGCAATTTGTGGAAAACTTCTCTAAGATAGCTAAGCCCTTAACTACTCTTTAGAGCCCTGCTACCCTATTTGTATAGACTTTAGAATGCTAATAAGCCTTTAACTAGCTTAGGAATGCCCTGCTAGCAATCCTAAGCTTGGCTTACTTCTATCCTAAGTACCCTCTAAAACTAGAGACAGACGCCTCTAATAGAGTTATTGCAGCTATCCTCTTACAGGAGCATCCTAATAGGAAATAGTACCCTATATCCTTCTTTAGTTAGACCCTTACTAGTTCTAAACTTAATTAGGAAATCTATAATAAAGAATTATTTATAATAATCTGCGCCTTTAAGAAATAGCGTGCTAACCTAATAAGTGTGAAGGACTTAGGCTTATGCCTAAGCCTAGGTCTAACACAAGACAGACCAAGTCTAACACCACTACTAAGCGAACACACTAGACACCTATAAAAAGGCGTGGAGGGCTTATCTCTCCTTTAAGATACTAAATACTATTATTAACGCTTATTATATTCTCCCTTAAGGCTAGTCTATAATATTTTAGTATCTTCTTCTAAATATACTATAATAGTAATAAGAGATAGACGCGCTAGATATTTAGAATAATTAGGTGCAACCTAATATAGTAGAAAGGCTAATATAATAGGTCTATAGATTAATAGAATAATAGGCTTAAGACTCTGCT